ATTTGTAGTAGCGTCAAGTTAATTTAAGATCCACTGTGTTTGCACTAAGCCCGCTGCAATGCGTGATTCGTAATTGGTTTTATTGCACCGTACAATCGCAGTTCATTACGTAATTGCACTTTGCTGTTAGCATGCAATTTTGAATGCAAAATACTGGAAACGAACAGTTATAGATTGCTGGAAGTGAAGATCAATTTGTTTTATGATTCATGGTCTTAAATTAAGTCTTTCATAATTAACATTATTAGCAAATAAGTAGGTAACAATGGGCAGGACTTGTTTTATTACAGAAAATGGTCAATTACAAGCTTACTTACTTCAATGGCACCGGCTTGGCCGAGCCCATCAGGTTCCTCTTGCACCAGAGCGGTATCAAGTTCGAGGACAAGAGGGTCGAACACGAACAAGAATGGCCCAAAATTAAACCCAGTAATTATATTAGACCAAAGATTTATTCCAAATTGTTGTTATATTAGCATGACTGATTTTTTAAAATTTCTGAAATTATTTAGCCGTGCCATTGGGTCAACTACCCGTTCTGGAGATCGATGGAAAACCCTTTGTTCAATCGAAGGCTATCGCTCGTTTGATTGCAAGGAAGAACAATCTTTATGGTGCTAACGAAGTCGAAGCGTACGAAATCGATGCCACCATCGACCTCGTTGAGGACTTGAGATTAGGTAACAATCTCTTTTTCTATTAACGTTGTTTTCGATTAACGTTGAACCTATCGACAGTTCTTATAATTTAAAATTTAATTAATTGTTTTTTGTACATATGGAATTTAGTATGATTATGGTTGAAATGTTTGTCTAGCTTTGGCGCGCTGGCACTCTGAAGAGAATCCTGAAGTAAAGGAGAAATTGATGAAGGAAGTCGAGGACGTTAAACTTCCCTTCACCCTTCAGAAGCTCGATGAGCAAATAAAGAAGAATGGTGGATTCCTCGTTGGTGGAAAGGTAATTCTAATTGCTACTCAGTTTACTCTATTATTAGTATTGTATGAATCATGTTACAAAGGATTATGTTAAACTTTCTGATTGCTGATATAATACTATTTCAAACGATATTTTCTATTTTTATTGCAGCTCTCATGGGCAGATCTCCAGGTCTTTGCGCAATTAGAGATGATTGACAACATGAAGAAGACTGAACTTGAAAACGACTATCCTGAACTGAAGAAGCTGGTGGCGAAGGTCAGGTCGCTGCCAAAAATCAAAGCGTACCTCGAAAATCGTCCTAAAGGATTGTTCTGAATGTCGACTTATCACACGATAAATTCGTAACCAATTATACGATTCGGCATGATTCATCGAAATTTCCCTATTCCATTACAGTTCGTTTGCACATGTCTCATCAAACTCCATTTTATTCGATATAATTGTTCGTATTAGATGTATGGTCGGAAACGATTGTATACAGTGCAAGAATGAAAATAAATAATTATATTACTGCAAAATTATTTTGAGTCTGTTCTTCCTAATGATCNCATATGGAATTTAGTATGATTATGGTTGAAATATTTTTTTAGTTGTGGGTAGGTGGAATTGGGAAGAAAATCCTGAACAAAAAGAGAAATTGAAGGCCCCTGTCGATACCAAACTTCCCTTCACCCTTGAAAAGCTCGATGAGCAGTTAAAGAAGAACGGAGGATTCTTCGTTGGTGGAAAGGTAAGTCTAATTGCTACTCAGCCTACTCTATTATTAGTATTGTATGAATCATGTTACAGAGGATAATGTTAAACTTTCTGATTGCTGATATAATACTATTTCAAACGATATTTTTTATCTTTTTTACAGCTTTCGTGGGCAGATCTCCATGTCACTGCGCAATTGGACATGTTTGGCAACATAATGAAGACTGAAGTTGAAAAAGACTATCCTGAATTGAAGAAGCTGGTGGCGAAGGTCAGGTCGCTGCCAAAAATCAAAGCGTACCTCGATAATCGTCCTAAAGGATTGTTCTGAACATAAACTTATCACACAATAAATTCTTAATGGATTATATGACTCGGCACGATTCATGGAAATTTCATTATTCCATTATAGTTCGTTCGCACATGTCTCATCAAACTTCATTTCATTCGATATAATTGTTTGTATTAGATGCGTGTATGGTTGATAACGATTGTATACGATGCAAGAATGAAAATAAATAATTATATTTCTGCAAAATTATTTTGACTGTTTTCTTCCTAATGATCGATCCCAATCTATTAATCCCAGTCATTCGAGTCGTTTCCCGCCACTTTTTATGCTTATAGCAAATTTTGCATGTTCTCGTTGGATATGAGATTATGACCTCGAGCCTGACTCGTGATATTCACATTTGACATGAGATTTTGATCACAAGTTTGACTCTGTATCATGTTTGATACAAAATTCTAATCACGAGTCAGGTTCGTTAAGGACGTTAGTCCCAAAATCCATTTTCTACAGAATGTTTTGAAATTTTG